TCTATTCCTCCCCACTAAGCGTTGGCCCACTCGAGCGCTTTCCCCGACAGACAGGAGATGAGGGCGGACACGCTCTCGTATCCCGAGGGAGCCGGGTGGATGGTCGCCAGGTAGAGCTCCACCTGGAGCAGGAACCCCTGGCACCCGGCAGCTGTTCCATCATATGCCCTCGGGAGCGAGAGCCGAATCCCACTGGATCCAGGTGGTGAAGGGGTGGACAGCGGTGTGGGGTGAATTGAGGTGTTGGGGTGAATTGTAGTGGAAGGAAGTGTAGAAAAAAAACCCTCTCTCCCATCGCTCCATAGTCTGTACCACTCGATCCATGGCTGTGCCAAGAGTCTGTAGCATGGTCGAGTGCTGCTGGATGTGTTCCTCCACCGATCCTGGAGGAATGGATGTACCTGCTGACTCCATAATGGTGCGTGATTCTGTCATGCGTCAGTGTGTAGCGGTAGAACGGAGTCAGGCGCAGGACACAGAACTTAGTCAACAACGTACTTTACTTGTCAAGAGTAAACACAGGGAAGAAAATACAGACTAACATGTCAATGACAACAAAACAACGAACAATCACGCACAACACCATGAGGGAACCAGAGGGTAAAATAGGGAAACAAATTATCGTAATTGGAACCAGGTGTGTGCAAATTAGACAAAACAAGTAGAACACAGAAACATAGATCGGTGGCAGCTAGTACTCCGGTGACGACGAACGCCAAAGCCTGCCCGAGCAAGGAGGAGGAGCAGCCTCGGCTGAATTCGTGACACTGGTGTACAAAACCGAAAGTAAAAGAGGCAAGAAATGAAACCATACTCAATACCTTGACTGCCTGTAAATACCGAATTCAATCTTTAAAATTATATTTTGATTCAACAGGCCTTTTTACACTAACAAAATATATTATGTAAAACCAGCCTTTCTTCGACATCAGATTTGCCACTTTTCTGTTGATACTATTCTTACATTAAGAGTTGATCAATTTGAAGGGGGCATGTGCACCCTGTGATTCATTGGGGTGACGCGCCTCTGCTGAAGGTGAACAGTAAACTGTCGAACCCCATGCTGTGTCAAAGAAAGCCCTTGTCTTTGCATTGTTTGCACCAGCAACCAAGGCCATGTTTAGCTGAGTCAGTATTTAGAGAGAGAGAGACTTGACATGCTGAATGATTATGTGAAAGAGAGAGCCTTAGAATCTTTTGTCACAAAGGTGCTAAAGGAATACGAGCACGTGGAGAGAAAGTAAGCTTTTAATCTTCGCCTTGGAAATACAAAATACCCCAAACTGTACATGGGTGGTGTACCATGCCCTTCTCTCAGGAATTCTGACGCATATAAGGGGTTATTAGCAAATCAACCTGAGGAACCTGTTCTTCTTTCTTGAAATCCTCCAATTACTTTATGAGCCACTAGGTCTAGTCATTCCGTTTTCCCTGAAGGGGATAGTCAAAGAATAGCCAGTGGCGACAAAGTTAACATTGATTGACAGGAAATAATGAACAAATGATCATACATTGTCTGTTTCTAATTGAATATGGTCAAACAGAGGTCACACTGTCATTCAAAAAGGCTTTCTGGGGTGGTACGTTTGGCTTTGTTTAGTCTTGACAGGCAGCTTAAGTGTGCCAAAGGCGCTAAGAAGCCGAGATAAGGCAAAGTAAACCAAATAAAGCTGCTTTGCTCTTTTAGTCAGGGAAATTAGTTGGATAGTTAAGTTAAGGGAATCAACAGTATGCTCAATTTTCCCCTTGCTTAACGCCAGTACAGTGTGATCTCAGACAATATGGTGTGAGGCTGAAGAAGGTGAAAGAGCTATCATAAAAGTGGTAAACAGTATGTAGCACACAAGGCATTGTGTATGCTGCAGCTAAATACAAATCCTTGTGGTATTAACTGAGACATACTGCAATTCATACACTTTCATCCCAATCCTTATGCAGTGATTAATACCAATTCAATGCATTTCCGATTTCAGTTTTTAACGGTGATTCTTCACTAATCGCTGCACCTCCAATGTTAAGGAAAACATGTCATTTGAACCAATATGAAACTTTATTATACCCCTTGCAAGGGTATTTGTATTTATTTTGCATGCTACCCATCCTCAGAATTATCTGTGACTCACAGAGGCGTATGTGACCACAATGGCTGTCTTTAACGTAGAAAAAATAATTGAGAGAGGTGATATGGGTTAGCTGCAGTGTTAAATAGAGCAGATGGTGATGTCATCACTGTGTGGGAACTGGAATGTAGTGGGGCTGCTCATCGTACGAAAAGGGCCTTTGCTTTCCAATAATGATATTCTATATGCACACTCCATTCTTGAAATTCAATTATCCCCCTTAGCATCCAACAAGCCAGCGTGATTAACTAAAATGGCCATAAATATACAGTGGGGAAAAAAAGTATTTAGTCAGCCACCAATTGTGCAAGTTCTCCCACTTAAAAAGATGACAGAGGCCTGTAATTTTCATCATAGGTACACGTCAACTATGACAGACAAATTGAGAAAAGAAAATCCAGAAAATCACATTGTAGGATTTTTAATGAATTTATTTGCAAATTATGGTGGAAAATAAGTATTTGGTCACCTACAAACAAGCAAGATTTCTGGCTCTCACAGACCTGTAACTTCTTCTTTAAGAGGCTCCTCTGTCCTCCACTCGTTACCTGTATTAATGGCACCTGTTTGAACTTGTTATCAGTATAAAAGACACCTGTCCACAACCTCAAACAGTCACACTCCAAACTCCACTATGGCCAAGACCAAAGAGCTGTCAAAGGACACCAGAAACAAAATTGTAGACCTGCACCAGGCTGGGAAGACTGAATCTGCAATAGGTAAGCAGCTTGGTTTGAAGAAATCAACTGTGGGAGCAATTATTAGGAAATGGAAGACATACAATACCACTGATAATCTCCCTCGATCTGGGGCTCCACGCAAGATCTCACCCCGTGGGGTCTAAATGATCACAAGAACGGTGAGCAAAAATCCCAGAACCACACGGGGGGACCTAGTGAATGACCTGCAGAGAGCTGGGACCAAAGTAACAAAGCCTACCATCAGTAACACACTACGCCGCCAGGGACTCAAATCCTGCAGTGCTAGACGTGTCCCCCTGCTTAAGCCAGTACATGTCCAGGCCTGTCTGAAGTTTGCTAGAGTGCATCCAGAAGAGGATTGGGAGAATGTCATATGGTCAGATGAAACCAAAATATAACTTTTTGGTAAAAACTCAACTCGTCGTGTTTGGAGGACAAAGAATGCTGAGTTGCATCCAAAGAACACCATACCTACTGTGAAGCATGGGAGTGAAAACATCATACTTTGGGGCTGTTTTTCTGCAAAGGGACCAGGACGACTGATCCGTGTAAAGGAAAGAATGAATGGGGCCATGTATCGTGAGATTTTGAGTGAAAACCTCCTTCTATCAGCAAGGGCATTGAAGATGAAACGTGGCTGGGTCTTTCAGCATGACAATGATCCCAAACACACCGCCCGGGCAACGAAGGAGTGGCTTCGTAAGAAGCATTTCAAGGTCCTGGAGTCTCCAGATCTCAACCCTATAGAAAATCTTTGGAGGGAGTTGAAAGTCCGTGTTGCCCAGCGACAGCCCCAAAACATCACTGCTCTAGAGGAGATCTGCATGGAGGAATGGTCCAAAATACCAGCAACAGTGTGTGAAAACCTTGTGAAGACTTACAGAAAACGTTTGACCTGTGTCATTGCCAACAAAGGGTATATAACAAAGTATTGAGAAACTTTTGTTATTGACCAAATACTTATTTTCCACCATAATTAGCAAATAAATTCATTAAAAATCCTACAATGTGATTTTCTGGATTTTTTTCCCTCATTTTGTCTGTCATAGTTGACGTGTACCTATGATGAAAATTACAGGCCTCTCTCATCTTTTTAAGTGGGAGAACTTGCACAATTGGTGGCTGACTAAATACTTTTTTTCCCCACTGTATGTGGTTAGCATTCCTTTTCTGTTTCTGTCTTCTCTCTGACGTACATTCGTTTTTATTGACTTGATCCGACTATAATATTGTGTGATGAATATTCCCAAGGTTTAGTTTAGTAACATGATGCTTCGTCTATGAGAAGTTAAGTCGTCACTCGAGTGTAATCCCAAATGGTTTTCCTTCCATTAATAGTTAAAAGGGCTTTAAGAAGAAAATGAACTGCCATTTCCTTAATTTAGAAGATTAATCACCCTCTTTGCTTTGTGTTTTTTCAAGTAAATAGTGGAGATTAAAAGACGTAGGCCTAGATTTTATCAGATCTAGCATTAACCGGCGATAGCCGACACCCACATAGCTGATATTTTGGCGGTGTCGGAGGTGTAACTGCATTCGAGCTTCCAAATCGGTGAGCAGCTGCTCTTGCGATCAGTGTCAGGAAGCCACACCCATCCCACTCCTGTTAGAAGTTCAGAATGAGAAAGAGTAGGCTATATAGAAATAATTACACTCAAAATGAAAAATTATTAAACAAAATAATGAGGATTTCTATCATTCTAATGGTGGTGTAGATTACATCACACATTCCTGTGTTCGAACTTGTAAACAAGGCTGCATGGGATTTCTCTTAATGCGACTCCATGCAGCCAATGGCAATGTCCGCTTTAGGTATAATGCCAGGAGCCGATTGTAGATTTGACAGCTCTAACCCAGTTCCACCTCCGACACCACCAAAACAACCGCTATGCGGGTGTCGGCTAGCTCGGATCTGATAGAATCTAGCTCTAACTGGGCACAATTATCCATGGTACATTGGTCAAACTACCACATGTTGAAACTTCACTAGTCTGACAAAAATGGAGCAAGACTGCCTCATCATAAAAATGTGCATATGATCGCTTCTGTGGCCTTTATAAATAATCCAACAATTCTCTCCACTAATTGCATGTTACCACAAAATGGCCATTGTGTGAACCAGTGTGTGTGCGTGAGTTGTAGAATAAACCAAATGTATACAGAAACTGAGAAAGAAGAGTATCACAATATATTATTTATTTTCCCCAACAAACCTTTCAACAACACCAATAAAAACAATAAATTACAATATTAAAAAGTAGGCTGCATGAAACAACACTAATGTGAATCAACACAGAAAGTGGAATTTAAAGCTAAATCACCATTGAACAGAAATAAATGGCATTACTTTTGTACTTGACTTTTGTCAGTTACCAGTCATTAACTAGTTGACTAGTTCAACATTAAGTTATAAACCGTGAACAACAAATACTATCTAGTAATTCAATTAACCGAGTGTTGTGAACTTAAATATTTCCGCTTTGTAACTGGTTTGCAATTAATCTCTTGTGGTAAAACAAAGCAAAAATAGTAAAATAATAACCCTGTCGGCATGGCGATTTGACTGCCGTTTGTCTAAATAAAAAAGCAAGCAAGAACAAATGTACCTGTCCAATGTTTAATATGTAAGCATATAACAGTCAAAATCAATGTTTTATTTTGATAGCTTTCATATTTAGTAGATGAGCTAAAATACAGTGATTTGGCATGTTCGCAAATTGCACTTGAATGATACAACCTCTAGATGAGGGAAAACAGTATTTCTGCCCCATTAAACCAGTCCAGCCGATGTCTCCGCATGGAACCCCTAATGCTCCAAATTACCACAAATTCCTTATCTACTACATTAACTTAGTTCAGATGGATGAACGGCTAACCAAAGACATGGTATCTAAGTGAAAAAGAAAACAAGACACTGAGGTATCAGACTCTTAGGAGTACAGTCAGAGTGCACTGAATGAACATTTTGTGAAAAACACATCACATTTTTGCCAATTCAGTCGTGTCGTTTAAACATCAAAACAAACAACAAAATACTTCTTAAAGGTTACATTTGTAAGTTAGATTCCCACTCAAAGTGTCGCCTCAACGCTCCTGGAGGATTCAAGGGGAGGGTCTTGGTGAGAGCACTCGAACGCAACACCAAAGATGATGAGGATGAGAGTGCACTACTTAGCATTACTTTTTGGGTTTAGTGAGTTGTAAATGCATCAAAGACAAAAAGGAATTTGGTTTTAAGATACAAAATAGCACAACTGAGTATTTGCCCCTTGTAAACCCACTTAAATGTCACTGTGACATCACTGTAGAACACTTAGCAGCAGGAAAATAACACAGATCATCAAGGGAAACATCCATGCGCTATATTTCACACAGCGAACACAATGAACTAGACAACTTATGAAACATTTCTAATGAACTATTACCATGCCAACTCATTGACAATGCTAGGTAAAATAACCCTGTGGTCTTTGCCTGCGTTGGTATTAGCCCCATAGCCACGCATCGCTATCCAAAGCAATAGTACTCATCGGAATCCACTTTGAGTCGCATTGGTGGCTTGCTGAAAGTCTTGTCCTCTATAATTGGTTTATCTGAGAAAGGATCAAGGTCCGTTGGAGAAGGGTGGTCTGGAAGGTCCTCGGCTAACTCATCCAACGTATCCAGATAACTGCCCACGGATATCCCGTCCAGTCCATCACTGTTTCCATCATGCAGACTGGTGATGCTGCCGCGTGAAGAGGTGTCATCCTCGCTGTCCGTTAAGCTGTACAGGCTGCCCGTCAGGCTGCTTTCACGACTGGCTATGCCCCCCTTGTCCTCCATCACCCATTTGATGGATTCGATGCCCTCGTTGATTGACATAAGCTGCTGCATCAGCTTGACATCGATGGCACGGAGGTGGGCCTGCGTTTTGGGTTAGAAGGAGATTCATTTTAGGACTTTGTTATTATAGATTTTTTTTTTTTTTTACACACAACACACTTCCAACAATTAGGCCTAAAATGTTGTTTGTTTTCTAAATACATTGCTGTCCTATTCCATTATTGTGAGAAGAACATCACCAGCATGTATTTTGAGTTGGCAAAGTAAAGCTGGAAAAAAACTATCCTGGACAAAGACCAAGGTAAAACAAAAACAGCATGCCACAGGAAGTCATTCCATCCTTGGCATGTAACAGCATGGCCTGTGAGGGCATAGCAGGACATTCTCACCCTGATACCCATACAGTACCACCATTGATTTATCACTTCACCATGACAACCCCAATAGAGGGTAGCCTATGGTCTCATTCAGAAAGATTCCCCCTGGCTACTAGCGACAAATAGACAGCCATTTACGCCAATGGACAGTCAGTGGCAGCAGTCTCTAGCCAGTCAAAAAGCATTATGCCAGATGGTGGTTGACAAGGCTCATAGAATGTTCCGGACAGCTGGCTGGCTATAAAACAGAGCACTTTCTTGGGAGTGGATCGCGACAGGCCCCGTTTAAGTCATAATGCTGCCAGTGTTTGCTTTACGGATATAACCTGTCCTTTATGTGTGCACAGACGTCGAGCCAGAGCATAGTGGAATTTTACAGTAGCATTAGCAGTGTCAATTAAAGTTGGCTTGAATGGGGTGGTGAATCACAAGATCGGTATAGCTAATGTGATTTACTGCTGCTTTCGTTTTAGTTTGTTAGTCATTGATATTGAACTTAATTGATTTAGCATCCAACAATACTTACTTACGATTAAAGTTTTTAACTCTTGTTTAAAACAAGTTACATTATTCTGGGCATTTGTCTAAAATGGGAGTTATAGGCAATACAGGTCAATCCTATACAGATTTGACCAACTGTTAATACCTCTATGTATATTGTAAAGTGAACCAGCCGGTTAGCCAAATGGCCAAGAGAAAAGCAGCCTAATTGGATTGAAGAAGTGACAGCAGCACAAAAGCCTTAGATGGCCCAAATGTGCCATTCACTATAGTAGGGAGCACAGCAGTCTACACTTGTCTTACATTTAATTAAACTGAATGGAATAAAACTGGTATTTTTCTGCTTTACTCCCAAGAGCTTGGTGGATGCATTTCAGTGTTGTCATCAATATCATTTTTGACTGTCCAGTCAGAACCCAAAGACTAGCTTTCCTCCATCACGATATGCCTTTGTGTCCGGCAAAATGGACTCTTGGGTGGATATCTTCTCTATTATTATAGTTTACTAGGCCTGTCATCATGATGGTATTATGAATCACCCTTTCAATGACCTCAACATGGAAACTCACATGAGAGGGGTATTTTTTTTAGTTGGTCAACCAGGCAACGACGCAGTCCCCTTCTGTACAAACTCGGTCAATTTGACCATCTGTTCAACGGTCCTAATGCCACAACTGACCTTAAGCCTTAAGGGGTGGGGGTCTCCTCAATACGGTGGGTCAAAGACAAGGCTATTGGTAGCCTGGAATCCAAGTGAATCAATTTGGATTCCAGGCTATCCTCCTGTATTTTTGTTGAGTTTGGAATTTGTGTAAGTGAGAGTTAATTGAGGTGAGAATTGTCTGCCTGCCTGATACTGGACTATGCATTGTTGTTGTGTGTAGAGAGCAAGTGTGAATGGCTTTCACCAACTGGGTGGCATCACACCTGTTGCTGAGAGAGGGTGAGAAACATCACTAAATCAATAGATTTATAGCGCAATACTCAATACATTTGGTTATTTAAGAGGTAGGCCAATGTTGATAGTTCTGGGAGTGTGACACCGACTCCTATTGTCTTGTTATGCGTCAAATGACTGTAGCATATAGTGTATATCCTACTTCTATTTCTGATGATAGAGTTACAGTGCAAGTCAATGTCCTACTGCACTAACATAAAAGAGACATGTCACTCACTATTATATACGTATTTCCAATGCCTTGCGACCAGGCTGCATTATAAGTCAACCATAAACTTCTGAGAAGCCAAAAGTATAACCTATGAACACAATGGCAATAAAGGTGGATTGCCATCAGGTTTCTGGAAGTTACTGCATAACATGTTGAATTATGATATCACAGGTCAGTGAACTAACGTCCAATAAAGCAAACAGCAGCAACAACTAGACTACTGCAGCTAAAATACTTTTTGTTATCTTGTGTAGATTGGGTAAATTGCACTTAATGCAATGCAGCAAATGAATATACAGAATGGTTTTGAAGGAGCAGTGAACTGACTTGAAAAAGCCGGGGTCCGAATTGCCGATTTGGATGTTTGCTTCGGTATTCAAAAACTGTATTATAGCATTACTGCATGAAGCAACTCACTGACCCGACAGGGACAGACGGACATAGTTCTTTAAGGTAACCAGTTAGCCTACCATTTCCTGTTTCAAAAATAACATCTTGTTCTCCAGTCGTTTTAAGTCAGCAGAGTTCGACCGGTTCTTCGGTGTCGCCGGTTTTCTATCCTCATGTTTGTCGTGATGGTGATTTCCTCCCGCCAGGGAACGAATGAGACTTTCAGGAACTTTGCGACCCAACTTTTTCTCAATATCCTTAAAATCGGATAACACGTTGTCCTCTTCCATGGTAGAATTGCAGTAAGAATATAAACGAACGAATAAATATATATGCTACGTGCAGTAGGAACAACACAGAGAGCAAATTATGGGGTTCAGTGGTTTGATGACTCCCACTGATTTCACGTCCAAAGAAAAGGGCATAACCTGGATGGTCTGAGAGTTCTGATGTTGAAAGCGACTGCTATATCCATAGGCGCACAGTAACGCAGTTGCCCAATCCAAATGTTATCACCAACTCAAAATATAGAGTACAATCCAAAACAAAATAGAAACAAACACCGTTATTACTGTAGAAAAGCCACTACAGACGTGAAATTAGAGGTTTGGAAGTCCCTTGCGCCGGGGTGTCAGCCGTGACCATTGAAACAATATTCGTACCAAGGAGCAGCTCCGTAGGATGACGGCGTGCTGCTCAACCACAGTTTAAATGACTGAAACCTTACACCCCGGACAGGTTGGATTATAAAACTACGCCTGTTTGCCGTAATGATAAGGCAATTGTCGCATTGTATATTTTTGCTTATTGTGTACAAAATATACCCATATGGTAGCCTACAGTATTTTCATCAGTATCATCAGTTCAATCATACAAACGATTAAATTGCAATTTTATGTTAGCAAAGTAGGCTACAGTAAGCTGTCTTTCTTGCTGAATTTATTTGAATTCAAACCAATGTTTTGTAGCCATCCTAGTGGCCTCATTGTTATCACACCAGCATAATAAAATCAATACATTTTAAAAAGCTATATTAAACGGCTTTAAAGCAAACACATTAACCAACATTTGACCTGATTAATGATGATATATTTCTTCAAAGCAACACAAATTAATTTAGCCCTGATTGACTCTTTTTTTGAAGTCGTATTGGACTTCACACTTCTACCCCCTTGTGGCAATTCATGAGAATTGACATTACCTACACAAGAGTGGCAAAGTAGGCGATACAACTGAAATATGATTTGGTTCAGACAAGGATCCTTTCGTTTTTCCTATTCTATTTGTTTCTACTTTGTCCACATAGTAATTTGCCCGTAGCTGTCAAGGCACATAAGAAGAGTAAATGTGTATGAATCATGACATTGCACTCCACAAATGTTGCAGAAATTATAATATTGCAAGACACATTTTTAACCTTTTATTTTGTTTAATCATCAAATTTTTTCAATGGAATAAAAAATTCCATTTTGAACACAAAAGGATTCAAATAAATTGAAATATGTTTACAAATTTACAGAATCTATAGTTATACTCAGAATCTATAGTTATACAGGTCAAGGCACTCTGTAATGTAACTAACAGTAGAATGAGTGATACAATCAATAAGATTCCAAATTACATACTACAGCAGTCAGCAGTGGTGGTAAAACTTGGCAATGGGTGGACCACAGTGTGCAGGTTTTTGTTCCAGACCAGCATTAACACCCCTAATTCAACCCACACCCTCCATTGACAACATTTGTCCACTCCCGGAATACAGTTTGTGATGCATATTCTACCACACTTGGAACTCAATTTGAAATGATGAAAACATAGCTGCTTACAATACAAAAGTATGAAAATATGTGACGCTCAGCTAAGCCTGGGTCATGTTCATTAGGCACCAAATGGAAGAAAATTGACAGAAACAGGGATGGGCTCATTTTATGTTGCAGAGATTTTGTTGCAAAAAGCGTGCCCTAACGAACATAACCCTGCAGTTTCACATACAGCTCAGACCACGGATTGGCCTTTTTCGTCGTCGTAGCGTTGGTACTGTTCTCCCAGCAGGGGCTGGCGGCCCTCCAGTTTGCTGTAAGAGTGGGAGCGCACCGCACATGTGGTGGCAGCAAAGATTACAGCCACGACGACCAGGGCCGAAACGATGGCAATGGTGATGATCTCGGTCAAAGTTAAAGGAGCAGCTATAGAGACGAGACAAGATTTATAACAGTTATATTCGTCATTGTATGGAATGTGAAACTCGCAAAGAGACAGATGGACAGACAGACAGAAGGACTCTTACCAAAATAGCTAATTTGAAGAAACTGTAAGCATAACAAGCAGACCACTTTGCATATAAAGTCCATAATTATTGGCACCCTTGATAAATATGAGCAGAAAATACTGTATAAAATAAAAACTGAGCTACAAAACAATGGGACAATTATATTATTTTATACTAATACAATTGTTCAGATAAAGAGATTTTGTTTAACAAGTCATATTATCCCCCCCAAAAAATTACGATCAAAAGTATTGGCACCTTGTTTTCAATACCTTTAAATACCTCACCTTGTGAGGGTAACGCACTGAGCCTTTTCCTAAAATGTTTTCTGAGATTGGAGAACACATTTGGGAAGGTTCTTAGACCATTCCTACATACAAAATCTTTCCAGATCATTGATATCCTTCGTCTGCACTTATGGACTGCCCTCTTCAATTCAAACCACAGGTTTTCAATGGGTTTTATGTCCGGAGACAGATGGCTATTGCAAAATGTAGATGTTGTGGTCAATTAACCATTTATTTGTGGATTTTTGGTGTGTGCTTGGAGTTATCGTCTTGCTGGAATATCTACTTCCGGCCAAGTTTCAGCCTCCTGGCAGAGGTAACGCGGTTTTTTGGCTAAAATGTCCTGGTACTGGGTAAAGTTCATGATGCCGTTGACCTTAACAAGGACTCCAGCACCAGTGGAAACAAAATAGCCCCATAACATCAAAGATCCACCATCATATTTGACAAGCCAAACCCACCACTGGTGTGCGTACCTAAAGAGCTCGATTTGCATGTCATCTGACGATAAGACCGGTCCCAACCCAAGTGCCAATGCCGTTTAGCAAACTCCAGGCATTTACATTTGTTGAATGACATTAAAATAAAGCTATTTGGCCAGGCACACCAGTGGTGGATTTGGCATCGAAATAAGGATGCATAAGTAGAAAAGAACCACATACCTACTTTAAAATATGGTGGTGGATCTATTACTTTCTAAACAAAATCTCTTTCTAACTGTATTAGTATAAAATATATAATTTCCCTTTTTTTCCCCATTCAATATAGCTCAGTATTTGTATTATTTATTTTATACAGTCTTTTTTGCTCATCTTTATCAAGGGTTCCAATTATTCCGGACCTGACTGTATATAATAGATAAGACAAATATCCATAATGTATTTATATTGACATTATACACACCTGGCCATTCAGCCTGTATTTATATTGACATTATACACACCTGGCCATTCAGCCTGTATTTATATTGACATTATACACACCTGGCCATTCAGCCTGTATTTATATTGACATTATACACACCTGGCCATTCAGCCTGTATTTATATTGACATTATACACACCTGGCCATTCAGCCTGTATTTATATTGACATTATACACACCTGGCCATTCGGCCTCGTAGGAGTAGCCAAGGTTCTCTGGGGCTGTAAGAAACATCTCAGCGTTGGTCACTGGAGGCCAAAAGGGAACCATGTTGTACCCCCTGTTGTGACCAATGGGGGCATTCTCTGAAGGATAGACTGCCAAATCTGCAAAATGTATCAGTTAAGAGTCAGCTTATGAACATGTGCCACTGACGTACAAAGAGAAAAGCCTGCCAGAGCTAAACAAATGGTGCATAGTAATCATGTAATTGTTGTGTAATTACCATTTTACCATGTAATTTAGAAGTAAATACAAGATAAAAAGTGGCCTGTACCGCATAGTCAACAAATACACAGAGGATGGAAGAACATCATATCTTCAGACAAGCAAGCACAGACAAAGACATTACATGAAGACAATAGATCAGGTATTGAACATGAGATTGATAGTAGGATGGGATCCGTTACCAGGGGCGTGCCTCCTGAGCCACTCGTCAAAGATGGCGTCGGTGAAAGTGTGGAGCAGCACGAAGATGGGGTCGTTGGGCGAGAGGTGGGTCTGTCCGCCTGTTCCGTTCAGAAACAGGTGGGCCAGGTTGTGGAGGCTCCGTACCACTGGGTCGTAGTTTCCCTGGGGGGCGCTATATCCTGTGCACACACCACAGGTAGCTTGTGGATTAAATACAGGAAACTGTGTGCAGTGGATGTGAAACTCGCCGGTAGCATGTTGGCAGGAGTACACCAGTGAAATGGGTGACGTCAAACCTTCCCTGAGATCTAAATCTCTCAGAGTGACTAGTCTCTTGCTCTGTCAGCTAAGACAGTTGGCTTTGAGTTGCGTGTGTTATCATGTGTAGAAGGTTGTTGGTTCGCACCCTGCTCGGGACAGAACAGAATGCACTCTGTTGTGTGTGAGTGTGTGTGTGTGTGCGTGCGTCTGGGTGAGTGTCAGCATGCACAACAAACCTCAATGTTCAGTGTGAGCATATGTACAGTACACTACAGGAAGTGTAGTGATATCTTTTTGTTTCAATGTGAATGACTATATCTATTTGTGTAGTCCAGCAATAACCACTCACCCTCGATGGTGTTCCTGAAGCTCTCTGAAGAGGTGGAGTAGTAGGGAGGGGTGTCAAAGCTGTTCACCTGCAGGCAGTCTGCCACGTCCTGAGGCTCAGGGAGACGCTGCACCATGGGGCGGGCCACGTTACCAGCTGGGTTCCTCCTGATGGGTGTGGTCTCAGTGTCTGGGTGGAGACAGAGTAGAGGGTTAAGAGGGGTCTCAGTAACCTGGGTTACTAAAGGGAATAATAAATAGGCGTGGGAAGTTGGGAAGTGCTGAAGGACACACCAGGGCCATGTTTAAATACTATTTAGATCTTTCTTTTCTTTCTTCCTTTCTTCCATCCTTCTGGAAATCACCCTATTGGAGGAGAAGGACCCTCCACTTTGAACCTTATTCTCTGATGGGTTTTTGAGGTGACGAGGAGAGAGGATGCAAGGAATCGAGGAAAGATGAATTGAGATGGAGCTAGTGCTTGAGGACTAATGTTGGGCAGATGACAAGCTCACTGCTTCCCCTAGTGTTCTGACAATGTGTTGCACCAACAGCAACAGCACTTATTAACAGTGAACCAGGCGTAAGCAATGTATTAATCAGCAGGTATCACAATATGGAATGGTGAAGTTGCTCAAAGGGGCTCTACATGTCCCTTGATGTTCTGGTCATTTGTCAACTTTGCTGAGTATGTTTCTATAATCTCAGTTACTTTTACACATTTTAACATCTGTGCCTACTGGCAACTTCTACCCACCATATAGGGCGTTCTCTTTAAAACTTGGAAGGATATGAGTGCACTACGAAAGGCTTACTGTTGCAGATGGTCCCCAGTGTATCATAGTCCTCCACACTCTCACAGATCACCCTCCAGTTGGAGAAGATGGAGTTGGTGCTGATGGAATTCATATCGAGGTTGCTCCTCGCTCCCAATAGGTCATCTGTGCAGATGTCACAGGTGCTTCCACCAATGGCAAAGTTCCAGTAGGGCAGGGCAAAGGACGGGTCTTGCAGCATATCCTAAATTGAAAGTAGGGTAAGAAAGAATTAATATACGATATAATAATCGTATTGTGCAATTAGAAACCCCTTAAACTGCAATTAAAACAGTTACAAATGGGCATAGAGGAGTAGCGCCTGCATTATTTCCATCCCATTGATCAAACAATCTCAATATTTAGTTGCAACTGATTTTATTTATTTAGTTGTATGAAACAATGATTTGCCTTTATTGCTAAAGCCTAATATATGGTTATGCCAAGATAATGAATAAGATAATGATCCTTAAAAACAATAAACAGTCTTTGTCAGTAATGCACCAAGGACTAATTCAATAAATAACTTGGGCAACAGATGCTCTGTTGTGCCCTATTAGAAGGGAAATCTAGGCTCAGACTAGTAACGCCTAAGCACATTTTCTGCTAAGCTTGCTTGATTTTGGCAGGAAATTGCTTCATCTGGAAAGATATCCTCACCCTTAATGCGGCACCAATTCCAACAAACAATAGGGAAAGTGAAATGACTATTGATGGGCAATAAATACAGATTCAAATGGATTTGGCTGGTGGTGAAAATCCATAATAGCATTAGATGATGGCCTATTAGACTGTGATATCAATCTAATAATCAACCATACCAGTGGTTGGCACACTACAAAAAAGTTATTTGCATTATGATGTACTATTTCAGTTAATATTTTACATGTATACAGTTACATATTGCCGGTACCCCATCTCACCTGCATGTCGCGCTCAAGTTGGAGCAGGTGAAACCTGTGCCAGGTCACAAAACCGGGACCTTCATGAGAGAAGTCGACTCCGCCAAAGCTCGGCTGTCCAGTCCCCAAGAAGGTCTTGCTGACCGAATAGTAGTGGGTCCACACAAAGTAATTGTAGATGGTGATGTTCTCAAACTGCGGGGTGTTTCCATCGGGCCCGAAGACCTCCTGGTACCGCCGCGTAGCGATTACAATGTCCGGGTGCACGGTGCTCTTGGCCTGGTCCAGCGCGGTCACGAAAGCTCGCTTCTGATCCACACTGAGCTGCATCACGTTTCTCCGGACTGAAGGATTAAAACCAGTCATGCGTTAATGAGCACATTCTTTTGTGGGAAGAAATTGAGAAATTACCCACTGGGCACACACTGGTTGAATCAACGTTGTTTCCACGTAATTCCAATGAAATTACGTTGAACCAACGTGGAATGGACTTTGAATTGACGTCTGTGCCCATTGGGTATAGATAGGGCAGGCAGCCTATCCAGAGTACCGTTAACCTTTATGCATAGGCCTACACCATTGCCTGAATTCGAGACAAACATGTAATTATATCGTACATTAAATGCAACTATATGTAATCCATGGACATTCGTGTCCTTGTCATTTTTAAAGTGTTGTATGCTTTCCATAATCTGTGCAGATATGTGGCTTTCAACCAGTTGAACAGCCGTGCGTAAAGTACGGTGTGGCGGTGCCTTGTATAGAGGTTGCTTGTGGTAGACTATAATTTACTTATTTTGTTCAACTGATATATGGACTGTTGATCATAGTTAAATTGGTTTAAGTGTGAGATTTACCACTCCACTAAAATGAGACACATATTTGAGATGATTAACCCTATGCTGTTTCAATTGCGTAAAAACATCAAATCATTTTGTAATGGAAACTGCGACATTTGGTTATTTGTTTTCCAGGGTGATAAAAAACAACAACGTACCAACAGCAACCAGTTGGTCACAGTTTAAACCGGCCAATCCATGCCTACAACGGCCACAATTATAACCGGTGAAATTCCCGTTGCACTGGCAGGTTCGATTGAAGTAGCGGATGGGCCAACGTTCACGGTCATCCCGTCCATCGTGGGGGTACTGGGGGCCGTGTGCACTTGCGTCTGCCGCTATCGAAATGCACTGTCCACGTCCAGTTGCGGACCCACAGTCGTCATTTGCGACCCCAAACGGGGATGGACAACACTGACCACTCCGAAGTACCTCTGGAGTCACACATTCCCTCGGAAACTGCGCGCGCACAAACACTGCGCCCAAGAGCACCAACAAGCCATACTTCCACATAGCCACGAATAGGCAAAATGACACAACAGAAAGTTAGTTAAATGGAAAGATGGATCACACAATTCTCTTTCTTCAATCACACTAACAGTAGTCAGTACCTTACTCGTAACCTCATCACTTCAAAGTTCCTTTTCTGTTTCAACTCAGTGCGCACTTGTCTTTCCATGCGGCCCGACCCTCTTGTACTAATTGCCCCAACACCAGCCAAGTAAAACCCTGGCCTTTAAATACCGGATTAGCGCATGACTGCCCGGATTTCTGATCTCCTCGTGATCACATCACATTTCTCACCAGACTGAGAGGGATAGAGTTTAGGTAGTCATGCACACCGTTTTACTAGTCCTACTGTGAAACATAATTTGGCATGTCACCTGTGCAAGCTATTGAATTAATGCTGTCCTCCAGTTTTAACCCCATCAATTAATGTTTATGAACTTCTGGACTAATTTCACCACATTTTGTCAAAAAGGATTACACTTAAATTACATTGCCACATTGAAATCCACAAATTAGAGTGACTGCTCTAAATTGGTATTACAAATCAAAGGACCTACAATGCAAAAAAACAACTGTGGCCTGCTACAGTACACAGTTAAGTGTCACTTGGAATAAAATGGAACCATATTTACATGTTATTATGCCTACATATATTTATGTGGACCTTATCGCTAATACAACCCACTCATCTGGATGTGATTGCAAAAGAGCCCACTTAGGCCTAACTATCATTACAATAGTATTTTAATAATAGAAGTCACTTTCTCACACGTTACATTGTCCTTCATGATGTATTGCTTACTGTCACTCATTTGTTTCATTATACCTAGTGCCATCAGTTCACTTCAGTTATTTATTTGCACAGATAAAACAACTTTTTATACAACGTTAAAGATAATAAAAGGTATGCAATGCATGAGCTCTCCTTTAGATAATCCCTAATTGTTTACACATGCATGTTCATGAGTTCATGTTGGAATGTGATCATCCTACCCAAGTCATTTGACTTCTCAGGCGGCACCCCCTCCACCCTGGCTTGCCCTTTCCTCCCAGGCTCCAATCATTCCCTCTTCATTTGAGCCAAGAATCCTTTGAGGCCATTGTGATGGTGGCCGCACAGCATAGTGAAGAATTCTAGTTTTATAACTCTTACAGACCACATGCTACTTTTGCCTCTGGGAATGGAGAGCATTCAGGACCTTTTTATCCCAACTCTCAGCTGATGGCTTCATAGCCAGTTTGCATTTACATATTGTTAATGATCTTTTAGTTGGGACTGCATTGTCATCAGCACGAGTTATTCCCCTTTTAACATTTACATTTTAGTCATTTAGCAGACGCTCTTATCCAGAGCGACTTACAGTTAGAAGGTCTGTGGAGTTCCATGCATTTGGAACACATTGAGAAGACACCAGCAGAGTTCATTGTGATATTAACCTAAAAGAACATCACAATACATAAATCACAAAAAGGTCAAAACATAACCTGCAAGGAATATATTAAAAGTTTCCCACATTATACTGTTTGCTTGGCAGTGGGTTATTCCGAGGACATCTCTGAATACAGACAGCAGTTGTTTAGTTGCACTAATTAGGAGTCATTATTTCATAATAACTAGGATGTGTATGGTTTCCTCCTCCTCAGGAGGGTGAACTCCTCCTAATTAGCGAAGGGCCATTTTTCTCGGTGCTACGGGTTGAGAGATAGTTGGGCGAAAATATCAGTTGAGAGCTGGGGAAAAAAAAGTTAAATGGCAGGTTTTTAGCTTTGAATTACCATATGTCTATCTGTTTCCCACTTCAAAGCACAGACAGCACTGTTAGAAAGAACTTGGCAGAAAGCCAACATTCCTTAAAAATGCTAAACAGGTACAAAGGAATGGAGAGCCACGTCATTTCGGGAAGGCAGACCGCAAGGTTGTAGGCTGCCAAGTGTATAAAGGAAGTAGTAATAACGAAACAAGTCAGTTTATGAGAAGAAAACATAAGAAGTCCTCAATGTACCTCTAATTATCTCTTTAAGATCTGAGTTAGATTGTTTGCCAATGGAAAAGGTGAATTAGGAATCCACCGCATACTTTTCATCATGTAGGCCTACAAACGAAAACCTGTCATTTTTTCCCCAACTAGCTGAAGTAGAAATGATTAACAAGTACATTTAGGGGGAAGGAAAAAATCACACGTCCTACATTTACCTCTAATACTCTTTGTAATGTCCGAGTATCATTGTTTGCCAATGGAAAAAGTTAATTAAGAATCTAGCTATACCACATACTTTCTTCATGTTGGCCTAAAAATATAACATTTTTTGCGCTCGCACGTGAGTCGGTTTGTTCCAGGTGCATGGGAATATTTGTATGATATCTTAAAAAGAAAAGAGGAACTTCCACACTGCCTTCTTGCCAGTATCACGTCCGTTTATTCATCTTACGTATCAGCCTTCATGTCGGCCATTTTATCTCATTTGGCTGCCAGTAGACATACTGGAAGGGAAAAGATTTAGACCAGTCACATGCGTTTAACAATGTTAGGGCCATAATACCAGCCAGAGTAAAAGTTCCTAATTAGGGTGTGAGGATAACCAAGATGTAATCCCATTCTAATGAAATACACATGAAACTACATTCCTTAGGAGTTGTAAGATTACAGGTTTGTATAGGGAAATGGATATTGTAGATTCATTACAGAATTTTCTTTTGATAATTTAAACATCACTAAACCTACATCTGAATCTGTTTTGAACGGCCTTTCCTTTCTTTAATTGAAATGCAAGTATACTGTCATAATGCAAAATATTTGATAATGCAATAATTTAATAGAATACATAGTCTCAAAAACAATGCGATCTTATTTAGCAGTTCCTGTTTGCTGACAGTCCTGAACTGTGATTTATTAATGTAATGGTATTTAATTACAATATATATTGAATAAGTAAACAACCTAATGTCCTGGAAGGTAATGTTCTCATGCATTTTAGCCATTATAAGGTCACATCTCTAGGTCAGTGTTTCTTAATCCTGGTCCTGGGGACCCAAAGGGGTGCAACTTTTCATTTCTTCCCTAGCACATACACACCTGATTCCACTAATCAACTCATCATCAAACCTTTGATTTGTATCAACTTACAGTGGTGGCCAAATATACTGGCACCCTTGTTTTCAATTTCAAATCATTTGAGAAAAAATAGAGAATTATTGAAGAAAGGTGCAAGGGTGCCAATATATTTGTGTGAGCGCATGATTGGAATGAAAGTTCATGCATGGTTGAAATTACGGCAATGCTGGGCACTCCCATTATAAATGAGGTCAACCTCATACAATACATGTACAACATAATAACAAATCCCCCCATAAGTATTGAATACGTATCACCAGGGCCGTAGCCAGGGGATCTGGGAAATTGTAAGAAAGTTGAATCTCATTTACTGCATTTCTATACAATTTAAAATTCTAAAACGCTATTTGGAGAACAGCAAAAGCAAAACACAGCCATTATCACATTGGTTGCTATAGCTTCATTTACCTCAGTCGATATACAGTTGAAGTCGGAGGTTCACGTACACTTAGGTTGGAGTCATTAAAACTCGTTTTTCAACCACTCCACACATTTCTTGTTAACAAACTATAGTTTTGGAAAGTCGGTTAGGACATCTACTTTGTGCATAACACAAGTAATTTTTCCAACAATTGTTTACAGATAGATTATTTCACTTATAATTCACTGTATCACAATTCCAGTGGATCAGAAGTTTACATACACTAAGTTGACTGTGCCTTTAAACAGCTTGGGAAAATTCCAGAAAATGATGTCATGGCGTTAGAAGCTTCTGATAGGCTAATTGACATCATTTGAGTCAATTGGAGGTGTACCTGTGGATGTATTTCAAGGCCTACCTTCAAACTCAGTGCCTCTTTGCTTGACATCATGGGAAAATCAAAAGAAATCAGCCAAGACCTCAGAAAAAAAATTGTAGACCTCCACAAGTCTGGTTCATCCTTGGGAGCAATTTCCAAACGCCTGAAGGTACCACGTTCATCTGTACAAACAATAGTACGCAAGTATAAACACCATGGGACCACGCAGCCGTCATACCGCACAGGAAGGAGACGCGTTCTATCTCCTACAGATGAACGTACTTTGGTGCGAAAAGTGCAAATCAATCCCAGAACAACAACAGGACCTTGTGAAGATGCTGGAGGAAACAGGTACAAAAGTATCTATATCCACAGTAAAACGAGTCCTATATTGACATAACCTGAAAGGCTGCTCAGCAAGGAAAAAGCCACTGCTCCGAAACCGCCATAAAAAAGCCAGACTACGGTTTGCAACTGCACATGGGGACAAACATCGTACCTTTTGGAGAAATGACCTCTGGTCTGATGAAACAAAAATATAATTGTTTGCCCATAATGACCATCGTTATGTTTGGAGGAAAAAGGGGGATGCTTGTAAGCCGAAGAACACCATCCCAACCGTGAAGCACAGGGACTTGTGCACTTCACAAAATAGATGGCATCATGAGGAAGGAAAATGATGTGGATATATTGAAGCAACATCTCAAGACATCAGTCAGGAAGTTAAAGCTTGGTCGCAAATGGGTCTTCCAAATGGACAATGACCCCAAGAATACTTCCAAAGTTTTGGCAAAATGGCTTAAGGACAACAAAGTCAAGCTATTGGAGTGGCCATCACAAAGCCCTGACCTCAAACCTAGAGAACATTTGTGGGTAGAACTGAAAAAGCGTGTGCGAGCAAGGAGGCCTACAAACCTGCCTCAGTTACACCAGCTCTGTCAGGAGGAATGGGCCAAAATTCACCCAACTTATTGTGGGAAGCTTGTGGAAGGCTACCCGAAACATTTGACCCAAGTTAAACAATTTAAAGGCAGAGCTACCAAATACTAATTGAGTGTATGTAAACTTCTGACCCACTGGGAATGCAATGAAAGAAATGAAAGCTGAAATAAATCATTCTCTCTACTATTATTCTGACATTTCACATTCTTAAAATAATGTGGTGATCCTAACTGACCTAAGACAGGGAATTTTTACTAGGATTAAATGTCAGGAATTGTGAAAAATTGAGTTAATGTATTTGGCTAAGGTGTATGTAAACTTCCGACTTCAACTGTACAAACACATAGCCTATTAGCTATACTTTTGCTGCTACACATTAACTCACTAACTCAGCATCGGG